CTTTTGCATAGAGGATAAAAGGGCTTTTTGGGGTTTAAAAAAGGGGGTAGGGGTAGATTGCTACATGGGACACAAGAGCAGAGCGAAGGCCACAGCAGCTGGACTGCTGGAGGTCTCTCCTGATGATTCCGGTGCCTCTTGGTGTGTGGACCACCTCAGGCTAGTGCTGCTCTGAGAACACGCAGTGAAGTGCAAGTCCATGGCTGCCCCATGAGGGCTCTTCCCTCCGCGGGCTGCCTTGCCGGCCTGCCCTAGCTCTCTCTACTTGCTGGTCTGCAAGAGGGGTGGATGTGTGCTAATGCAAAGCTGGGCCCACTGGCCATTGGGCATCTGTCTGCAAACAAGCTGGAGTTTGTCCCCCTGCACAGGCCCCCAGGGGCTCACGCCAGACCCACCTGGCTTCGCATCCTGGCTTCCTTTTTGTGTTCATGTCCTATGGCTGCTGTATCAAATGATCACAAACTGGGTGCCTTAGAACAACAGAAATTTATTCTTTCATAGTTTTAGAGGCCAGAGGTCTGAAATCTGGTGGGACCACGTTCCTTCCAGAAGCTCTAGGGGAGAATGTGTCCTTGCCTCTTCCAGGTCCTGGTGGTTGCTGACGGTCCCTGGGTTTATGGTTGCATCTCTCCAATCCCTGCCTCTGTGATCACATCACCTTCTGTCTGTGTGTCTACCTCTGTCTCTCTCTTATAAAGACACTTGTGATGGCATTTCGTGTCAACCTAGGTAATCCGGGACAATCTCCTCGTCTTAATTCCTTAATTACATTGGCAAAGACATTTTTTTTTTTTCCTGAATAAGGTCACATTTACAGATTCTGAGGACTAGGATGTGGATATCTTTTGAGGGGCCACCTTTCAGTATATCATACCCATTAACTGTCCAGTGACTTTACTGCTTTGAGCCTCAGTGATCGTGTCTACAGATTGGGGATGAGAAGCCCATTCTCACAGCGCCTTGTGGTGACCACCAACCTTATGAGCAGGAGGTCTGGGCCTCTGTGTGGTGGAGCCCTGCCCCTCCCCTCTGTTCTCATATCCTAGGGCAGCGTCCCCCTCCTTCCCTTTTGTCATTGACCTGTTCTGATCCCGGAGATGGTTGAAGAGGAGCTGGGAGGCGTAGACTGTGAGGGCCTCCAGTCTGCAGACCCTTGTCCCCATCTCCACTGTTTCTCCTTCTTGCATGTGGGCGCCCCCTCTCAGTGAGGTGTGTGTGGTGCCCAGGCATGGAATGTGGCAAGGGTTAGACACAGACAGGCTCCCTTCCTCCCCTGGGGGCCTCCTGCTGGGGCTTCTGCCCCCTCCTACCACCCCTGTTTTCCCACCAACACCCTGGGACTCTCTTTTCCAGAGCAGTATCTGGGAAGTTAGGGACCTTGCCCAAGGTTGCACAGCCTATTAGCAGTGGCTCCAGGGCCTGTGTTGTCTCCCCACCTCATCTGAAGTCGACTGGGCAGCCCCTGCTCCAAGCTGAGGCCCTAGGAACATCCCTGGGAGGTAGAACGTTCGTCCTTTGGGTTTACAGGGTGCTAAATGCGTCATGACAACCAGACTGGAAAAAAATCAATCACAATTTCATTTCATCTCCAGATAAAAGAAGAGGTTTACAGGCCAGAAAACCTCCTTATGGAAATTGGTGTGTCCATGAGCAGGGTGATCTGATCTGTTAGGGCTTGTTTCTAGCAGGAGGCCTGGGTTTGGGGAAGAGGTTATCTGCCAGATGACCCAGGGCTCCAGGCAGATACAGTTTCCCTAATCCCCACTCCCATGGGAAAATGGGAGGAGCTAGCTTTGAGAGACTGCAGGTCCGGGTTGGTGCGAGCTGCTGGGCTGCACCTGGCTTAGGATGGGATGAGGTGGGAGGCGGTGGGCCTCTCACATTCAGTCAACAAAGTGGCCTGGGTCTCCACTGTGTAGCTCCCAGTCGGTGTGCGGGTTGACACTTGAGTACCCCATTACAGTTGTGGAGCAGGCCAGGACTGGGGTCTAGTGAGCCTCACCTCACCTGTGAACACCTGCAGCCCCATCCCTGCGGGGGACAGAGGACATATGATTGGCACAGAGTGTTCTTGGCAGAGCCAGGGTTGGAGTCTCCTGTGAGCTCCCTGGTGGCCGGGGACAAGGGCCTCACCCCTCTATCGTGACTCTCCATTGCACACCAGTGGCCTTCTGGCTCCCTCCCCTAGGACACCCACTGAAGACACACAGTTGACACATTTCTGGCTGTGGAGACACCGGGGTGCTGCTCTGTGTATGGGGACCAGTGAATCTAGCCTCAGCATCTCTCACCTGGGCTATTCTGGCAACTTCTGCCCAGGGCGTTCCACCAACTCTTCCTTCACATTCTCTCCCCTGTGCATTTCTTCATGTGCTTCTCCCTCCACTCTTTCCCTCTTGCTGTTCTCTCTGCTTGAAATGTGTACCTTTCTCCCTAGTTCACAGTCTCAGCTCAACCTGCATGGAGCCCACTGCGGTGGAGGGCAGGGGCAGGAAGAGCCCTGGGTGGTGGTGGGAGGGACGGGGGCATCTGTGGAGCTCTGTGTCCTGGATCTGGAGACCTGGACAGTGGCTGTTGAGGGTGTGGAGCCCTGAGTTTGGCTGTAGGGACGGACAGACAGGCCAGGGTTCAGTTCCCTGCTACTTGGTCCTTCCTGGGGAATTGGGAGCTCCTCCGAATGCAAAAAAGCTAAGGCTCAGGGGCTGGGGAAAGAGGGAAAAGCCTCCCCAGGCTGTGTAACTGGGAAGCAGGGACTCCAACAGGCAACACGGGAGGGGTTTTGTTCTCAGGGAGAGACTCATTGGGGCTGTGATTTTTACACTTTAGACTCTCATCTGTGGAACGCTTTCCTCACAAGCAATGGACCCAGAATACCCACGTGCAAGACATAGGAAGTGAGGTGGGTCTAGAGCCCCAAAGGCCCTGAGCCTCCTCTGAAGACCTTCCAGATCCAGGCTGGGGAACACACACCTGGAGGATCACTGCTTTGGAGGAGGTTGGGACTCAGACTGCCCCAGGAGGCCTGGGACTAAGAATGACAGTCCACAGGGATCCCTCCTGGGAGCCTTCCTTCCTTCTTTCCGCTCTCCCTTGGCATGCGGTAATGCTTTTGTGCTCTTTGGCCTGCCTTGTCTGATCTTCAGAGGAGCCTATAGAAAGGATGGACCTTGCTGGACTCTCAGGAGGCCAAGGGGAACCTGGAAGTCAGTATGAGAGCCCCAGATGGGCCTGAGCTGGTATTTGGTTCTACCACCCACCCTGCCTAGAGAGCATGGGTCCAGGGGCCAGATGTCTGTGGTCCAGCTTGTTTTTTCGAAGGAAGTAACTTTTTATGCGGGTAACTGTTTAGACTACCTTGGTTTTTTTTTTTTTTTTTTTTTTTTTT